TTTTTTTTTTTTTTATCTTGAATAAAGCGATTTATTTCAATAACACATGAGACATGGATGTGTTTCAAACCAATCATCATTTGATTTGACCCTTTATAGAAGAAGGAAACCTGCCAAGCTACTCGACTTTAATAATTTTAATTCATTTCCTTTAGAACCTAGAAAATAGCTTTCACACAATCATTAATAAATTAATATCAATCTCACTTAAATATAAGTAGGATGACAGCGCTCTCGTCAACATTTCATCAATATTATTGTACCCAAAAAACTATAGACCCTGATTAAGAAATATTATTTAGCATAATTGATGTTTAACATAAGTTCATGTGACAATACCAATGATATTAAATTACAGATTCAAATAAATGAATCATATAATTTCACATTTAATTAATCTTATCGCATAGTGACACATTACACATAGACTGATAATTTAATACCACTATGCTAGATAACATTATTCTATTCATATTGCTCTTTAACACGAGTTCAATAAAATATGAAATTGAAAATAAGTTTAAGAAAAAAATGAGTTTTGAAAAACTGAGTTATGATTCCATTTTAATTATAAATACTTTAAAGGGAACAATACACATTTAAGGTGGTTAGAAAATATAATTTCAAAATTAACAAACATGTTTTAAAACTTTAGGCCATAATTAAATTTATTAATTAAAATATAAAATATATTATTAATTAAATATATTTAGGTCACAATACTATACAATTTATCACTATTAATAAAATTTAACTAAGGTCATAAATGAAGCAATACACATTTAAGGTGATTTGTGACAATAAATTGTATAGTATTGTAATCTTAATAAAATCGTGACTTATAAATAAGTTGTCATAGTCACAAATCACAAATTTCATAAATCACAATTTATTTATTGATAAAAAAAAAATATCAAATTAATATGTCACATATTATTTCTCAATTACAAATTTTATAAATCACAACTTATTTCACAGTCACAAATTATCCAATTAATTGGTCACAACTTAACAAATTGTGAGTTGTGATTACAAATTTAATCATAATCTCACATTTTTTTATCATATATTATTTATTGGTCACAAATTAATCAATTTATTGATCACTATCACTCAAAATCCCACACCACCCACAATACCCCCCAATCCCAAATCCACCATGAGCATCAATTGAACTACAGGCTACTTCGCCACCAGCACCACCACCACATGAAGGACCACCACTTGTGACCATCACCAAAACCCCCACCACCATTATCGCCAACTATTCTGTTGTTGCTAGCAACACAACCTCCAACACCCCCAACCACTTGCACAACCATTATTAGCGCCATCACCATCATCATCTGCACCCCTACCACCATTTGTAAAATACTAACAATCACCCAAAACTCCGATTAAACAACAGATCTGATCAGAAAACCATCGATAATGCATACCATCCACAACAAATCAAAAAATTCAACAATCACAGACAAACACAATTGCACGGAACAAGCGTGTGCCATTATTGCTGGAATAGAGAGGATGAGGTCGGTAGACAAGGGTAGAGAGAGTGGTAAAGAGAGAGAAGATAGAGAGAGAGGAAAGGAAATGTTTTAGGGTTTGGGAATAAAGGAGTGAATGTAGCGGTGGCAATGGGTCGAACCGATATACGCACGAGCTTGGCTCGCGAGCTCGATTTTAATTTTTTTTTATAACTATACATGTTTTAAACCTTAATTTTTTTTTTAAAAAAAACTCACGAGCCGCTCGTCAAAAAACGAGTCGAGCGGCTCACGAGCTGCTTTTTTCCAGCTCGTCTTTTGACGAGGAAGAGCTGCTCACGAGCCCCTTTTTTATAAGCCGACGAGCCGCTCGGCTTGATTGTCACCTCTAGGTGAATGTAGTTGGGATGGTTAAATTAATTCTATAATATTGTTATTAATATTTAAAAGATAAATTATCACAAACAAATAATTTTTAATCCTTATTTTTGAATTAAAAAGTTAAAATTCATGGATGAGCGTAATTTCCACTACTTTAAATGCAAAACTTAGGACTTTTTTGATTTATGTTTTAGTTTGAGTTCATTTTCAGTTTTATATTTTGAGGATTTATTCCAAAATTACTTAAAATGTGTTTGATTTGTTATCTTGAAAATTTATTTCTCAAAATAGAAAACTAGAAAATACATTTGGTTTGAAATTTTGAAAAAATTGTTTTATGACAAGTTTATTCCATAAAACTTGATTATTCACTAAAATTAAACAATGTTAATGTTAATATATTATCAAGTAATATATACATAATATATACATTTTAAAATTGGTGAGTTTTACATACTTTTTTTCACTACAAAAGTAAAATAAATAATAAATTGAATTCAAAATATAAAAAATGAAAATAAAAATTACTGACGTGAACTGAGAATATTTTTATTTGTGTTCATTTAAATATATATTTTAAAAATCTTTAAGTAAATAATTATTAAAACTTTGAACTATTTTTATTTTTTAGAATTTTTTAAACATTTGAGATTTTATTTTTCATATTTTTTATTTTTTAAAAAATTTATCAATTTTATTTTTCTTGATTTTTTAATTTTATTTGTTAGACTTTATATTTGTATTTTTTAAAATTTATTCAAATAAAATTTTATTGAAATGCTTGTTTTCCTGTTTTGAGTTTTTCCAAATTTTTTACTAAAAATATTCAAAAAATTAAAAATGCTTTTTTAAATTTTAAATTACAAGTTTATCTTTTCGATGATGCATTTTCAAAATTACAAATTCTTCATGAATCATATTTCAACTTTATACAAACACTTCACTCCCTCTTTTTATTCACTGATTATACGGGCCAATCATATCACCAAGCTTCAACAATGGCGAAAAAATCCTCCCTCTCTCTCTTACGCAGGCTTTTGCATGTGATTACACTTCTCTCCGTCTGCTTGCTTCTCATCCACCGCATTTCCGCCACCTCCGCCACCAATCAACCCCACTTTGAGGGGTTCGATGCTGATGAAGATGATGAGTTTGTCATAGAATCGAATGACGTTGGACCTATCCGGTACCGTACGCCCCCTATCTCTCTTTCTGAACCCACCTTGGAATCCCGTCATGAAAACCCGAATCCAAAGCCCGACTCCCAAATTCTGTCCCCGGTTTCAGATCCGAATTTAAATTCGAAGCCCGCTTCAACGTCGTTTGATTATTGGGACGAGGATGAGTTTGAAGGGATTCCACAAGATTTGCCCCCGGAAAATATTGTTACTAAGGAATCTGCTACTGGGTCGGAATTTGATTTGAGTTCTGACCCGGAAAAACCTGATTCGGGGAAAGACGTGAAATCTGAAGTTTCGGATGTTACGTCTCTAGTGAATCTGTTGTTGTCATATTCTATTGAAATTGTATGTGTTATATTTTTGATTGTTTTCGCTATTAATTATTTCACGGGGAAAAGGGACAATGAGAACTTGGCGTTAGCATGGGCGAGTAAGTTTGCAACTAAGGATTCGATTTTCGACAAGAATTTTAGCTTGTTGGGTGTGGGGGAGACTGAAGATTCTCCACTGTTGTTGAAGGAAGGGAATAACGTATTTAAGTTTTATGCAAGTGGGAGGAGGTTTTGCTCGGGATTGCTGGCAACAATGGAACTTAAGAGCCGGCACGATTTGATTTCAAGACTGTACAATATGGTGGTACCATGTAAGGATGAAATCACATTTGAGGTGTATATGAATGATGATGCGATGGATCATGTGGTTTTTGCCTTGGCAAGGAAGAAGTTGGCAAAAATAATGCAGAAGGAGGCGAGGGACTTGCAGCGGTTTGCAGTGCAGGTGGCACCTCCGAGTGGGAGGAAGTGGGTGGTGGAGGAGCTGCAGGTGATCTCTGAATCCAAGGAGGTTGCTGGGGATTTAATTACTGATGCTGTACTAGATCAGGTATTCGGTTCGATCTGGTTTACATGCGCACATATGCATATGCATACATAGTTGTTCAATTGTAGTATCTCTTGAATGCTTTTCGATTGATTCTAGCCATTTGTTTTGGGTACTTATTAGCCACATATTGTGCATTTATGATTTAAACGAGCTGGAAGTGAAATTTTGGTGCACTCTAGAAATGGGAATTTTATGGAATTATAAGGGTATAGCTAATCAAGGAGAAGAACAATGAATTTTTGTGTTTGTTTGTATTTATCTTTTGAATTATTTATGACGATGAATGTTGGTTTGATTAATTGATTTTGGTGTTTGTTATTCCGATCCTTAACCTGGTTGGAAGCAAGTTGGCATATTCTAATAGACTTGAGCCTTAAGAATCATAATTTTTTCTTTTGTTGTGGCATATGATGAGGAGGAGTGATGTTGTTTGGGGGATTGCGCGACTGGCCCACATTGAATTTGTAATTGTTTAGGGAACAGAGTATTTATTGAAAATGTTTACATTATTTTTAGTAAATTGAATGTGCTAGAACAAGTTTGCATACATATATCTGTCTATTGATTGCAGTTATCGAAATTCTGCTCAGAAACTTAATGCATCTGGTAGTCTTAAATGGTAGTCTTAAAAGTAATTTTCTTTGGTCTTTCTTCTTTTAAATTTTTCTTTTGGGTTGGATTTGGTCTCTATCACAAGGTTTGGCAATAAAAATTATTTTAGAAGCTTAGTAGAACTTTGACAGATATTTAGCTTTACACAAGCTATCTGCTTTTCTTTTAACTTGTGGAGACCTTCGAAAGATCTGATTTCTACTTTAACTCAATACTTGGGGAAGTTACATCTTGTGCTTGCCTGATTTTTTTTTTCGTGGCTTCTTTTTTTTGTTTGTTTTGTGACTCCTTTGTTTGGTGGCACTTATATTAACTGTTACCGTCTCCTTCTGTAGTTTGAGTTTTTAGTTTTTCTTCTAAATAAGTCTTATGGACTATTTTAAGAGGGGAAAATAACTCCTTCAAAACGAATTAGGTGAATCGACAGAAACTATGATTATTGATTTTGTTAGCCCACTGTGGACTCATTAATTTGCCCTTAATTGGAAGAGGTTAACCAAGTCAGTTCAAGCCCAAACCTTTGACTTTAAGCCTTTGTAGTATTTTTTGCTAAAGTAAAATAGTATATTTCGGGAAAAATCATATATATACATATGAAATTGTATCAAATAATTGTTTGGGATAATATAGAGTTTTGACTAAAAGATAATTTGAGAATTTGAATTTTAGTCATTGTTTTTCCAATACTCATTAGCTTAAAGCACGTTCAAGAAGCCCCTTAGCATCTTTGTCCAACTCTCATCTCTCTCACGCCACTTTACCTCTTTCATTCTATTTCTTTCATACCAAAAATTACACACACACACCACTTTAGTGTGACTGATTTTGCAAGAAAAGCTGACAAGTTGGTACTTTATGGCTGTCTGTCTGAGTTAAATAAGGCATAATTTTTCTTTAATTGCTCTCATGTTTAAGGTAGGATACCTATATGTGCAAGTTATTCGTCCATTTACAATGTTATTTATTTTTGTGATCTTTATATATGAAATGTTAGTTGACCCATACAGATCCTACACTGAAATGAAATGCGAAATTCCTTCGAGCTCCTCAAAAGACTACACAAAAATTTATTAGAGCACTCGATTATTCATGATTACTTTCAATGAAATGGTGGTATGGAATGTTGTACTTGTTTTTAATGTTGTAATATGGTATTTGGATGTCATGTATTTTAGTGACTGTTTTCAAATACTCATTTTTTATTTATGAACTTTCATATTAGTTCGGGTTGTATAGATGTGTGGCTGAAAAGTAGAATAGGGGTACCAAGGGAATTTTGTGAGAATGACATCATCATGTGAAAATATGATGAAGAAGTCACTTGGCTAACCTATTCCACTACGAAACTATGCATGCCCATGGGAATTTTATAATATTGACATTGTTATGCGATGCAAAAGTCCCTTGGCAAACTTATTCCACTGTGCAATACCCACGACTTGGACTAACATGAAGGTTTATTTAAAGGAGTGAGATTTTTGCATTACACATTTCTTAGTAGTCTTTTGAGACTACTGAAGGAATCTTGCATTTCTTTTTGATGTAGGATCTGTACTTCAATTAACATTTCATGAATAAATGTCACTAAAAATACATAATATTGTAAAGAGACAAATCACTTGCACATATAGGTATGCTACCTTAACTAAGGAGCAATTGAAAAAAAATTATAAATGGACCCAAAGTACCATCTTTTATTCCAAAATCAATCACACTAAAGTGGCTTTTGATTTTTTTTTTTTGGTATGAAAGAAATAGAATGGGAGAGGAAGAAAGAGATGTTATGAGATTTATTGAGCGGACCAGTATTGGAAGAAACAGGCTAAAATTCAAGATCTCAATTTATGTCTTAGTGAAACTTTGCATTATCCCAACTTTGCTGTCGAGGTGGGAATGAAAAGCATAATTACTTTCGTACCCTTGCTTGAGTGGTCTAGTATATTTACACTTTCAATTTTAAATATAATAATTGATTCTTCTTCGAAAATTAATTAATTTCGTAACACAGTAACACTAACTTTTGAATTATAAGCAAAACTAGCCTAACATTGTCTAATCAGAATGGCTTATTTAATCCATCTACTCCTTGCTCCATTCTACACAAGGAAAACCCAAAAGGAGAAACTCATTGAAAATGATACTGCATTTCTCTTCTCGTTCTTTTATAAGTTCCTGACTTAGCTTCTTAGTTGCTTTTCTTGTTTTTCTTTATTAATTTTTTGTGGAATTTGTTGGACAAAATGAAGGTACATTAGTAAAAGCTAAAATCACCAAGTCAACGCATACTATTAGTAGAAGGCCCTCCAGTGCCTCCACTACCTCACATTTGTCTAAGAAATTTTGCAAAAAATAAATAACTAAAAAAATAAAAAATGAAGAAGAAGAGAAGTGACGTGACGTGACGTGATGTGAAGTGAGGAGCTCAAAAAGAAAGGAAAGAGAAATGGAGTACCATTTTGAATGGAGTTCCTCCTTTTGGTTTTCCTTTTGTAGAATAGGACGGGAAGTTAAGAGTAGATGAATTAAGTAAGCCATTTTGATTACAAATCGTTAGACTTTGATAATGATTGGCTAGTTTTGCTGACCAATAAGTACATTTTTTAACCTTTTTTCAAAAATTAATTAATTTTCGTTAGAAATTTATTATTTTACTTTGGCAAGAAAATATTGCATGGGTTGAACTGGCTAGGCTCCTCTGCTGAAGGCCAAACTAAGATTGATAAAATTTGTGCCCAAGTAACTCGTGAATTCCAATCACATTATTGCAATCTCCAGTTATAATTTATATCTTTGCAGGTTCATTTTTCCCATGTTCATGTTTAGTTTGATATCTGTCCTTATTTTCAATATCAAATTTTTGCATGGTTTTTCATGCTTGGCAACTGGCTTGTCTAATGCGTCCATTGGCATTGCTACTTTCTTTGTATCTATACAATAATTTCTTTTTTATCGTTTATTTGCAGACAAGAAGGAATGTAATATCACGTGAAAATTTCTTTTTCTTTCCTCTTCATGATAAATTATTCAACGTAATTTTCCTCGGATTTATATGCAGGTTTTTGGTGACAAAGCATTTGATAAATTTGGCAAGGGTTTCATCTCACTGCATTTTTCTGATCAACACTTGGGATCAAACAAGAAGATGCTGGTTTTGAAGTTTGCTCTTCCAGATGCTATTCACATGGCTGACATGAGTCGATTGGTCGCCCTTGTACCCTATTACATCGACCTGATTGGAAGATACAAGCCCAGCTCCCAGGTGAGTAATTATATATTTAACCTTTTAGTTTCATGATTTTTCTTAACCAGAAGACCTTTTTGCCTCAGGCTCGATCTAAAACAGAGGCAGCTAGATTAAAAGTTGCTCAAGAGATTTACAAGGAACTTCAAAATGCCAGGCAAGAAGCCTTGCAGCAAAAGAAGGTGGAGCAGAGAAAGAAATTGGAAGAGGCTCAGTCAAAACTAAGCGCCGAGGCTCTTCGCAAGAAAGAGGCAAAAGAGCGTACTCGTCAAATGAAGAAGTTCGCACCTAAATTTAAGATAAGCCAGGCTCATTAGATCCCAAGTTATCTGATACTACAATAGATATATACTTAGTGCTCATCATTTTCAAAATCTTTTATATTTGGTTCACTTCTCTTTCCAAATTCCAAGCAAGCGGGGATAGAACTTAGTGATTGGCTATAGGTAGTGTCGATTCAACATTTACCAATTCTCTCTAGTTTTTGAATGTAACATTATCTCTTATTTGATGAATCTGTAGTTTCTCTTAGCAATATCTTTGTTGCATTTGGGAACAATTTTTGAGATTTGTATGGGAATTATATAGGATGGAATTGACGGAGGTGGTCTTTTTGAGTATTTAAAGAAACTCTAGAATTTAATTTTGCGGAAATCATCTTATGAAATGATTCTTATTTTTCGTTTTATTGTCTGAAATGTGTAATTACTTTCTTTTCTCCAGTACATTTTTATTCTTTCAATCTTTTAACTTTTTGCTGAATTATTAGTTTGAACACAATAAGTCAATAATTGCCATTGATGAAACTTGAGTGTTGCTACTTGAACAGGGCCACGTAGGGCCGCCATCTATAAGCAGCGCCCCAATTTGAACAGAGCCTACGTGGCCCTGTTCAAGCAGCTTAATCCGATGAAACTTGCCCATTAACCAGTGCTTCTTAAGGTAACGGTCATTGTAAAATAGAACTTTTGACTTGCAAAATCCATCCTTCACATGTACATCTTGTCGAGGCTCTCCTTGTAGGCGTTTAGGGCTTCACTGCTCAATGGTCCTCGCCGGACGCAATCTAAAAATAAGAAAGCAAATGTAAGATTCAATGATAAAATGCATAGCAATGGCTAGTTGCACGAAGGCTTACCTAGCTCTCTATATTGTCGGGGGACCCTAACATTTGGCTTCAGATCATTTGGGTGAAGTTCCCATTCCCCCTCAAGAATAAGAAACTGTCCCTCCACCCTTGGATCTTGTTGATTTGATAAAGGCAGGGGAACACGTTAAACCACCTTTGGCCCTCAACTTTACAGGGACAGTAGACAGAAAAGAATAGCTCGACAGGCATTTTTCCCATCCAGCTCTGCTATTTGCAACGCATGAACACCCCTGCCAAGTGTCCCCAGCCATTTGATGTTACTTGTGAAGGCTAGATTCAAGGGTGAAGGAAGGGGGGGGGGGGGGGGGGGGGG